GATACATGCTGAGCATAGATCATGTCAACGTTGCATGCACTAACAAACTAGATGCATGCTGAGGCAAAGCACCCCATATATGTTAACTATACAAAGTAGCACGAAATCTCTTGAGCCAATGAGCGTTTATTTATGATTTCACGACCTTCTCTTGGCTAAGACTAATAGTTGTGTAGCTTTCCGTAAGAGTCGACTAATGGAATCGGGTGGTCAGACCACTTGGATGACACATGTCATCGTATCCCAGTTGTGTAGATCGATGATCATGCTGTTGAACACTGGATTGTCTGTTCCAGACTATATTGTTTACAGACCGCCGCCATATAGCTGGAATATTGCTGTGTGCGGCGTTAACCATCAAACCAACGAATCGCATTTTTGTATTGCAAATATATAGCGTCAACAGCACTTTCGCTGGGTGTCATCCCTGGAAAACGGCATTTGTTATTACAGTGAAAAGCCTTTGATGTTTCCCCGAGGTAGACACATGTTCAGGTAGTGAGGTAGTCCAGGTTAAACTAAAAGTGAAGTGCGTAACGAAATCGGAGTTCATTTACATGATATCAACTCACTAAGTAATATGAACATGATATCAACTCACTACTTCTAGATTGGCATTGATTGATATCAACTGACTGCTATTGATTGCCATTGATTGATATCAACTGACTACTTATTGATTGGCATTGCTTGATATCAACTGACTGCTTATTGATTGATATCAACTGACTGCTGATTGATTTCCATTGATTATCAGCTCACTGCTTATTGACTGGCATTGATTGATTTCAACTTACTAGTTATTGATTGACTTCAACTCACGAATTATTATGGGAAGTGCATAACGAAATCGGAGTTCATTTACATGATATCAACTCACTAAGTAATATGAACATGATATCAACTCACTACTTCTAGATTGGCATTGATTGATATCAACTGACTGCTATTGATTGCCATTGATTGATTTCAACTCACTACTTATTGATTGCCATTGATTGATATCAACTGACATCTTATTGATTTCCATTGATTGATATCAACTGACTGCTTATTGATTGCTATCAGCTCACTGCTTATTGACTGGCATTGATTGATTTCAACTTACAAGTTCTTGATTGATTTCAACTCACGAATTATTATGGGTGTAATATTGTGCTTATTCCTATCGAATGCATCACTTTCAAAATGGCAAGTCAGCAGTAAGAGTATATGTTCATTTCAACTACACGTGAAGGAAGATATATCGTGGATGTCATGGATGTGTTAAGATAAGAACTGCACTTCAAATATTTCTACAGTTCTACAGCTACATATTAAGATATCCTTTTCTATGAGAATAATGATGTTCAATATCTATCAATTGTTAGTTATCAATAAAACGATCATGGATGAAAGAAAATGCGCTATGTATTCCACTGGGTGTAAATAAGCGTTCGTGGGAGTATTTCATTCATTAACGGTTAACAATTCAGTATCACCCGTGTGCTTAAAAGCACACAGAACCTCAATTTCTACTTTGAGAGACATTGAAACGGGAACCCTAATCAGCCAAACCCCACTCTGGTTATGCGAGAGACCTGTTTTGACAGCATCTGGCTTAATGAGGACACCACTGGAACCTCAATTGTTCTCCAGAGGCACTCGACTTGAAAATCCTTGCACGCTCTACTGGTTTGTTGTTTTAAACATCACAGTTGTCGTCTTCCAGGGAATAAACAGCCAGCAGAAATAGGTTCAGCTGGCAGGGGTCTTCCCACTTACACAACTCCTGTTGTTTCAGTAGAAGAAATTACTGTGGTGTGATAATCCCCTTTAATCCCTTATTATGTTCCCTGTGAAATAGTATCCGGGACCAAATGTGATAAAATATCAGCTACTTTTGACTCTATGTTTAAGGTGTGGAATCAGTTTCAGGTAGTATCTAGCTGATAGCAAATGGTCAATTAAGCAAGGAGGAAATATGTATCCTTGTTTTGTAATTTTGGTAACTGCATTAAAAAATCTTTCTTACTGATCATGAGAGAATTTGAGATTGACTCATTTGAGGGCAACACTGCATCAATACCCAGCTAAAACACCTCCTTCAGACCATCCAGCACCAGATGTACCAGTTGCTGTTGCTGTTCAAGATTCCCCAGCAGGTCACTCAATTAAAATTCAATTTGTACGTAATGATATGAAAATAGTTCACACATATCAAATATACTTGTTAGCAAGTGGTATGTTTATCAGTCTATCTTGTGAAATATGTTCACCAGTGGTCATGATAATGATATTGCTCTGACTGTCCCTGATTGGAGTGCTGGGTGAAGTTGTGTCAAAGCCGGAATAACAATTTCGCCGTGCACAATCACTGACCTAAGGCAAAATATTTAAAAAACCGTATCCGCAAATCACTGGAAACAATGTCTATAAAACCATGTCCCAATTATGTGAATGATGGGAGTTACGTCCCTTGTAGTCGGTGATTGTAATTATAATTCGCTCTGACAATGACATCATTTTGAAATCAGATTTACGGTAGTTCATTCACGATACAAAGTAATCATTTAGAGATATGTAATCTCTCTGCCATATTTGTTAATTCTTAAGCGTGATATGGTTTTAGTGCGGAAGCTGTTCCTACAACATATCCCAGTCCTACGGTTAGCACAAGGCTCGTTTATGTCTTAGCTGATTTGAGCTATGAGAGAGAGAGTTTTAAGAGAGAGAGAGAGAGTTTTTTATTCAGTAAAGGGGCCACAGGCCCATTATTCATCAGGTGTACAGAATATACAATCATTAGAGCACCGTACAACATCATGAGAGCTGCACAATTATACATTTGTGGGTACGAAGACTGAAAGAAATTTATTTCGTTTTTTTCATGGCAAAAAATAGATATTTTGCAAGACAATTTATAATATAAGTATTCTTTGATGTAAACAACTGTGCTAATTTGAGCTATGATAATGTGTCCATTAATATAGCACCAAACTCCACTGTTGCTGGTACATGATGTAGATAAGTATTGATACTTACTGTTGTTGGTAGATATCATAGATGTGGTGCTGGTGGAACATCATAGATAGGTATTTATACTCACTGTTGCTGGTACATGATGTAAATAGGTACTCTCTGTTGCTGGTGGAACATCGTAGATAGGTATTTATACTCACTGTTGCTGGTACATGATGTAGATAGGTACTCTCTGTTGCTGGTGGAACATCATAGATAGGTATTTATACTCACTTGCTGGTATTGCTGGTACATGATGTAAATAGGTACTCTCTAGATAGGTACTCTCTGTTGCTGGTGGAACATCATAGGGTATTTATACTCACTGTTGCTGGTACATGATGTAAATAGGTACTACTCACTGTTGCTGGTGGAACATCGTAGATAGGTATTTATACTCACTGTTGCTGGTACATGATGTAAATAGGTACTCTCTGTTGCTGGTGGAACATCATAGGTATTTATACTCACTGTTGCTGATACATGATGTAAATAGGTACTCTCTGTTGCTGGTGGAACATCATAGATAGGTATTTATACTCACTGTTGCTGGTACATGATGTAAATAGGTACTCTCTCACTTTGCTGGTGGAACATCATAGGTATTTATACTCACTGTTGCTGGTACATGATGTAAATAGGTACTCTCTGTTGCTGGTGGAACATCATAGATAGGTATTTATACTCACTGTTGCTGGTACATGATGTAAATAGGTACTCTCTGTTGCTGGTGGAACATCATAGATAGGTATTTATACTCACTGTTGCTGGTACATTGTTGCTGGTGGATGTAAATAGGTACTCTCTTTGTTGCTGGTGGAATATCATAGGTATTTATACTTACTGTTGCTGGTACATGATGTAGATAGGTACTTTCTGTTGCTGGTGGAACATCGTAGATGAGTATTTATACTCACTGTTGCTGGTACATGATGTAAATAGGTACTCTCTGTTGCTGGTGGAACATCATAGATAGGTATTTATACTCATTTATACTCACTGTTGCTGGTACATGATGTAAATAGGTACTCTCTGTTGCTGGTGGAACATCATAGATAGGTATTTATACTCACTGTTGCTGGTACATGATGTAGATAGGTACTCTCTTTTGCTGGTGGAATATCATAGGTATTTATACTCACTGTTGCTGGTACATGATGTAAATAGGTACTCTCTGTTGCTGGTGGAACATCATAGATAGGTATTTATACTCACTGTTGCTGGTACATGATGTAAATAGATACTCTCTGTTGCTGGTGGAACATCATAGATAGGTATTTATACTCACTGTTGCTGGTACATGATGTAAATAGGTACTCTCTGTTGCTGGTGGAACATCATAGATAGGTGTTTATACTCACTGTTGCTGGTACATGATGTAAAAAGATACTCTCTGTTGCTGGTGGAGCATCATAGACAGGTGTTTATACTTACTGTTGCTGGTACATGGTGTAGACAGGTATTGATACTTACTGTTTTTGGTGGATATTTTAGATATGTGTTGGTACTTAATGGTACTGGTACATATTACAGATAGGCATTGATACTTACTATTGCTGGTACATGAAGTAGATAGGTATTTTGATACTTAATGGCGTCAAAGCTAGTTGGTAATGATTCAAAAACATGATCTAGTCGGATCGTTCCCTGTAAGAGAATTGTTACGCTCATGGAAATTTGGTTTATATAACATTCCTTGTGTATTACAACCTTCATCTGTAAACGATCAAACCGCTGCCTATGCTTCGTAGCTTGTAGAATTGAAACTGGAACGAAATCAAAATACGACCCCTTTCTCAGCAAGGTGCTATCTCTATTTAAATGAGTACAAAGGAATTTCGCATCGTCACTGGGGACTTGTTTGGGGCGGATCGAGGTTTGAGTTCACCTGCCCGTGCCTGACCTACAAAGGTAAACCAGTCCTTCCTTTTATGGCAGTGACATGAATGACTCAACTGCTCATTCGTTCAAGCGTCACGGTCACGTGAATTTCGGCACCACGTGATTTACCCGCAATATAGTTTAGTAACCGTGGACAAGGCCATTGGGTTCTGTGTTCCATCGAGGAGTAGCATGTTGGTCCTCAGGTAAGATCTGATCGTGTTGTGATACAATATGAATATCTTCTTATATTTATTGACAAAAATGATGTGGACAGTTCACTTTTTTTATTGTCATACCCTATCGTGAATACTCAGATCCTTTCGAATACAAGGTGATTCGTTTGTTGGTTTATTGTTTAACACCACACTCAGCAATATTCCAGCTATATGGCGGCGGTCGGTATATAATCGAATCTGGACCAGACAATCCAGTGATTAACATCATGGGCATCGATCTACGCAATTGGGATACGATGACATTTGTCAACCAAGTTAACGAGCCTCACCACCCGATCCCGTTAGTCGCCTCTTACGACAAGCATGGGTTGCTGAAGATCAATTCTAACCCGGATCTTCACGGTTGGATACAAGGTGAAGTTTGACTCAGCAGCCTCAATATATAGAAGACACTGTGAGTTATTGTTGTGTGGACCTGTCATAGAGCTATATCCACATTATCCTGAATCACATGAGCATGGGATGATTGTTCATCAAGACAAGCGGTGACTGTATCTTCGGTATTCTTGGGACAACTTGAGAACCGTATCGTTATTAACAACGACTTAACATTAAAAGCCACCCTGAAGAATTGGTGAACAGTTTAAGCGTGGCTGAATCTCTTCGTCAGCACCACAAATGATCCAGACAATCTAAGTGAAGGTGTTGACCTACTGGCGAATAACTGAATACAAAAAGGATTTTATATGAGCTTAGCACGGTATGGCTGAAATAGACGATAAATCCTAACTTGAAAATTGTGAGATAGAAATGTCATGGACACGTTGGCAAATAAAAAGGTATCAGAGCTTCAGGCGGCACCGCGCTTGACATCTGATAACACATGCCTCTAACATATTCAATATTCTAGCTGTTTGAAGCTGTTTCAGAAAGGTTTTTGCAATGTATTGGATCCTAGGTGAATGAGACCCAGTTTTACCAGGTGCACCACAGCCCCCTGAAAAGGTCACCAAGTGTTTGATCAACGCAAGTTTAAGTCACAATATATGTGCACCTTCGGAATGGACTGGACATACAAGACAAGTGTTTATTTACTTCAAAGAGTTGGACTAACCGTCCCTCGTCTGTTTTGACAGAAAAAACAAAACAAAACAACATAACGATATTTCTGGGAAATATGTAAACACGGAAAAAATCCCGACACGGTTTTCCAAATACATGTAAAAGAGACGACTGGTATTCGTCATAACGCAGACACATTAAAGAAAGGTAACATTCGTAAATCGTATATCATATTAATGGAACGACGTCGATTCGGAATGAACATATTCATGCCCGTGAGCATGAATTCTGACGACGATTTTGTAAATCAGTCTGCAGCAGTCAGCACACGCACAATTAGTATAAAACACGGGGCAAAAGAACAGACCTTAGAAACGATGTCAAACCATCACTAGGATAAAGGCAAAAGCCTTTGTAAACCTAAGGTAACAAACACAACTATGGTATTGCACATCATCATTGACTATTTATTTAGGCAAGTGAGTTTGTTCAAAATTGCCTCTGTTCACCCAGCAGAAAATGGGTACCCTGTTGGATAAGTCATGTGACTATTAACATTCACAGGCAGCTTGGGTTATCCGGGGTAATAATAATCACATTGCATCGCTTTCAGCGTGTTCCTCCGTGGTGTGGAATTCAGCGTATTATAAATGCCCTTATTATTATTATTATCATTATTTAGGTTCATGAACCATGCTCGTGTCGAAGTCGCACAATTGACTCTGCTCTTGACAGAGGATTCTTGTGGATGTGGAAAGGGTTTGATCGCTTTTATAATAGTGCTAGGGTATGTTTCATCTGCTCTTTCAATGCTATTCTTACATGATCTTAATAATGTCAGTATTTTTCAGAATATCTACCGTTTTGGCATGTGTCGTGGTGATCTCCGGCTATGCCGGATACAGGGATACGATCCCAAATGGCTACAACCTGACCCACCCTTGTGTAACGGGGGAGCTGTGGCCGGGGGTGGGGCATGTGAACCCCGCGGGTGGCGGTGAAAGAAATCAGTTCGGTATTGATTTTGCAAACCAAGGCAGAAATGTGAGCAAATATGAATAAAAACTTTCATAGTTTTGTAAATGTTATTCAGGATGAGGTTGTAATAAAAAATTTAAAAAGACGTTGCATGTCACGCTTTTGTGTAATTCGTTACACAACTGACGTTACATAAAACAGTTTTATTAATTTGTCACAGAAAATGGATTTACATAACACACTTTTATATAATTCGTTAAACAAACTGGCGTTACATGAAAGGCTGCCATAATCTGTAATATTGCTGAGTGGGGCGTTAAACATGAAACAATCAAATACATGAAACAGTTTTATTTAATTGGTCACACAAAAATTATGAATTTACATGAAAAACTTTTGCATGATTCATAACACAAACTGACGTTACATGAAAAGCCGCTGTAATCTGTAATATTGAAAACAAACAAATAAATGAAACAGTTTTTTATTAGGTCATTTATTATTAGGTATTAAAAACTGACATTAATTAAACACTTTTATCTCATTCGTTACACAAACTGACGTTACATGAAACACATTAATTTAACTAGCTTCAATTTATTCACCGTTCATACAGTGGGCGAATGTGTGTAACATGGACTCGGATGGTGATGGGATGACCAATGGTCAAGAACTGGGTGACCCCCAGTGCATCTGGACATCTGGAGCCACGCCCACACGGACCACTGGACTCACACACCCAGGTCAGGGCAGTCACAATATTTTTGGAGGTTCTAGTTCCTTCATTTCAGTTTCAAAATACGTTTTATTAACAGTTACTCAATACTGTAATATTTGATATGAAGAGGCGGAATGTTCATAGGGCAACTGTGTCCAAACAGTCATCTTAGAGATGATTTTCATTCACTCATAAGTGTAAACATGGAGTAAAAGTTAATATGTAGTTGACGTGATTCACAGTAGTCTTCCTATAATAAGCGGTTATGACTAAATAAAGTCTGGATCAGACAAACAAGTGGCTGATATCATGAGCACCCACACAGTCACCGTATGCTTACACGTAATCAGCCAAGTCATTGAGCCTGACAACCGGTTCATTCAATCAAATTGTTTGCTGGGGACCTTGTCTAACTTTGAATACCAATTGGGAAAAGGAAAAGGTTTGGCTGTCGGGAAAAGGTTTGCAATTGTATCCTTGAGTATCCGTTTATCATAAAACAATGAATATGTTTGAGACAGTATACTCGAAAGTCAAATATGTCTTTGTAAACATTAATTGACTCATTCTCTTTCAAAGATGACATGAATATCCTTTTAACTAAATAATATTCTGGGCGTGTTTCAGATCATATTCTCAGTGCGTGACAATGTATTTGGTTTAGTTCACGTTAGTGGTGGTCCGATTAATTGAAATAATCGAAGATTGGTCGCAGTGCCTAAACGACCAAGCAATCGATTGTGTTTTCTCATAATCGAACACAACCAAATTTGGAACACTTGTTTGCATCAACAATATTTTACACAAGGTTGGTTTTGTCTGTGTCATTAGATTTACATTTCATAAGCACTACAAGCTCGTTCCAAGTCATGATTGAATTTATCTTAAAGAATCCAGGAAATCTGTGTTCCTAACATACTAATCATCCTTTAAATATGCGAAATTTGCCAATGGATTTTGTGCAATTTGCAAAAGACCAAAATTACTACATGTTTTTTCTTTTTTGTGTGTGTGTGCATTAACAAAGATAACAGGAACATTTGATAAATGAAGCAAACCAATTATTTTCGATGACTGATCGGTTGTAATGAACCAATCATCAATTATGAGATTTTAACCAATTCCCAACACTAGTTCACGTGTCAAATGTCATTTTATTGTTTTGCTTTTTAGGCTATTGTACTCCCTCATCCACCCAGACGTGTGCCGGCCTTGCCACGCCTTCATGTGAAAGTACAGAGTTTGACTGTCCATCAATTGCAGAATCAGGTAATGCGAGTGAGTGAGCGAATTTAGTTTTACGCCGCACTCAGCAATAATAAAGCGGCGGCGGTCTGTAAATAATCAAGTCTGGACCAGACAATCCAGTGATCAACATCATGAACATTGATCTACGCAGTTGGGAACCGATGACATGTGTCAACCAGGTCAGCGAGCCTGATCACCCGATCCCGTTAGTCGTCTTTTACGAAAATTATAACAATCCAGTGATCAAGGGCATGAGCATGGGTCTAGGATAACAATGTGTTTTGAAAGCTCGTTAACTCGAAGTCATAAAAAATACATCGTGATTTCCGTACCTCGAGTTCCGACTAAGTGCCAATAGGTGTTCTGTTTATACCAGAAAATATATATCTGGAACGAGTTCATGGAATTCTCATTAAGGAAAATGTGTAAATGTGTTATCCGAACTTCGAGTAAAACGAAACGCAGTCCCGATCTTAGATCATGAAGTTTCTATCCGAACCAACAGGTACATTTCTGGGACGTGTTGATGAAAATCGGTTTAACGATTTTTTATATAAACGCAACATCTCACTGATATCGAAGGTAATATAGACCCGAAAATGCATCAATGATGGCCTTAACGTTTCGTGACGGTTTTTCTTTGTGGAAAATAGTAGTCGAAAGCGACGAAATGAATATGTGTTGTTTGGTTAGTTTTGTTGATTAGTGTTGCACTAAGCAGTATTCCTGCTATATGCGGGCGGTCAAACCAAGATATACTGAGAGAATAAAATAAGGATCACAGGAAAATTCAAGCGTTCCTTTAATATTTCCAGTTTTCATTACCACAGCGCTATTCAAAGCTGATGATGAAAACTGGAAAATATTAAAGGAATGCATGAATTTTCCTGTGATCCTTTATTTGTTTCTCTCAGTATAGGTTTAAACGTGGTACATGTTGTTGCCCAGCCTGGCACCTGACATAAGGGGATGCACAGGAACTGGTAGAATCGAATTCAGTCAAATGTGTGAGTGGGTTCGCTAGCAATGATAAATCGGCATAAGTACTGCCTATTACATATACTACATATACATATGCATGTACATTGCTATGTAAGTTGATAGTTTAAGCTAAGTTTACTACTATGAACTTGACCTATGCATACGAAATAATGCTGCACACACTGAGTTTGAGTGAGTGAGTTTAGTGTTACACCGCTTTTGGCAATATTCCAGCAATATCACGTCGGGGGATACCAGACATGGGCTTCATACATTGTACCCATGTGAGGAATCGAACCCGGGTCTTCAGCGTGACGAGCGAACGCTTTTACCACTAGGCTACCCCACCTCCCGCTGCATTCACACCAATAAATAATATCATATTCTCAATTTACTTCGCAGGGGTTCGAAGTCGGGATTTGAGGTTTCCGAGAACACAGGTGCCTAGTACGGAGACAAATTATTTCTGCATGACTTTCGACTTGGACCAATCAGAGGATTTCCACATGATCGCCACCAAACCGGACATTGACAACGTGGACGTGATGCACCATATTCTCCTTTACGGTTGTGGTGATGGTGGTATGTATTCAAGTGGCCTGTATCCATTCACCATGGCCTCCTTTTACGGTTGTGTTGGTGACATGTATTCATGCACAGTATTCATTATGTTTGTCGTGCTGGTTTGGATGTATTCGCACAGTATATTCTTTACGATTGTCGTATGTGGTGTCGTGCATTCATGCAGCATATTCTTTACGATTGTCGTGATAGTGGTGTGTATACAATATTCTTTACGGTTGTCGTGATAGTGGTGTGTATACATGTGCAATATTCTTTACGATTGTCGTGGATGCATTCATGCAGCATATTCTTTACGGTTGTCGTGATACATGTGCAATATTCTTTACGATTGTCGTGATGGTGGCATGTATTCAAGCAAAATATTCTTTACGGTTGTCGTGATAGTGGTGTGTATACATGTGCAATATTCTTTACGGTTGTCGTGATGGTAGTATATATTCATTCAACTTTAACTTCCTTTTATGGTGGTCATGATAATAGCTCATATTCATGCACAGTATGCTTTACGGTGGTCGTCTAGACGACAGACATTATGTTTTGTAATGCTGTCATCGACACATTACAGCCACATGACGACAGTCAATGAAGCTATTCTTAGTATTAACTAGTGATCAATGATCAAGTAAAGCGATTGTAGTCGCTACATAAAAATAAGCTACATGGAATCCAAACCAGCTCGGAAATCCTCTACTTTAACAACTCGTTACACCAATGACAATTTCTTTATCTATGCAGTTGTTTGGAATATTGAAATATTGTGACATATCGAATAGAAATTGTTCTATTTAGAATGTTTATTGTATTAATAAGCTGCTGAAATACCGAATCCCCGGTCGTGTGGCATGGCTACTGAGGACTGCAATGAACTAATTGGTTTGTGGACGGTTGGTATGAATGGACAGTGCCTGAATACCGCAGCTGGCTTCAAACTTGGCAGAACAGGCATCAAGAGAGTCCTTCTCGAGGTAATTATAAAAATAAATAATAATGTGGGTATTTTATATACTGCTACATCCAGGTACTAATACCCGCTCATGGCGCTACAACACTATAGGAGAAAAGAAAATAGGTAAAACTATTAACAGAGAGACAAGTGAACATAGAAAGTCTAGTAATAGGCAAGACGGTTTTTAGAGACGATTTAAATGTGTCCAAAGATTCAGCATTCTTGATGTGAGTGGGCAAGTTGTTCCAGAGACTGGCAGCTGCGTGTTGGAATGATCTTTTCCCATAGGATGAGAGTCGAACTTTAGGAATTACAAGTAGATTGTGATTCTGGGATCGTAATGGTCGGGTTGGAATGTACTGACACAGAAGACTGGAGAGGTATTCAGGTGTTTGTCCATGTAGAGCTTTGAAAGTGATACAAGTTAAGTTAATCCGGAATTTGACAGGCAACCAGTGTAGAGACATCAGTGAAGGTGTGATATGATCTTTCTTGGACTTGAGGCAGACGATGCGAGCTGCTGAGTTCTGTAATTTTTGGTAATTTAAAACATATAATAGAGATAACATAAAAGAATACACACGCCATATGACATTTGGTTCAAATCCTAAGAGAGCTGAAACCACGAAGAAAATTTCTTCATTGCTGTTGTTTCTGATGATCCTGAGATGAGACGATGAAGACTGGCATGCATTTCAGACTCAATAATGCAATTGTGTAGTAGACAATTTCTCATTTTCAAAATAGTATTGTTCATTTTTCAAACATATTTCCTTTTTTTCTGTTTTTAATAAACAATTGTCTCAAACAAACACCAAAATATCCTGCATCTGTTTCTAATACCACCGCAATCTTTAGTAGGGCTGTGCAATATTACCGGTAAATCGGTATATACCGGTACAGTATCTCGCGATACGATTATTGCGATATGGTTCAGATTCTGCAATATATTGGGTCATCCAGAGGTAGCTCCCTTTGAATTTTCTGTCCTTGCCCTCCATGGCAACAAAACGTGCTCCAAAGTGTCAAATATACTTTTATTTCACTTGGTTTCATGTCACATTTTACAATTGGAAGTGTCTTTATAAGTTGCTCCAAAAGTGTCAGATATTCTACCAAATTCTTTAAGTTTTGTGGGTTTAAATGATTTAATATGTGACGTTTTGGAGGAATTAAGTGACCTCAAATGCACCAATCTTTTGAGAGAAGCACGAGTTATGAATGGCAACTTCTTGTTGGATCAAGCATACACTCCGAAACGTCGTGTTATTCACAATAAAGAAGTTGACATCCATAAATCGTGATTTTCTTATGCATTCCACTTCTAAATGCCCTTCTAAGATTTGACAAATCTTTTATTTGGCCCTATTAGTAGAGCCTCTGGCTTCTAGAGACCATTTCACAATATTTTGTTATTTTTGTTTGTTTCATAATGGGACATACATGTATGTTATCAGGCCAAAGTCTTATACATTTTGTAGGACTGTATAATGACATTCTAGTCAAGGATCTTAGTTACTGGAGGTCACATGAGATTTTAAGCTCAAGTTATTTCATTTTGCAATAGTTCATATTTACACATATTTATATTGGAGTTGAATCTGAATGAATCCCTAACATACAGTAACAATAAGTACCATACTGCATTGAAGCGCATTCTGTTGAAGCAACAACACTGACCATGAAAATCATGTTATACTATTACCTTTATCATTATGTTCGCAAAACTTTGTTGCAATACAGTACTTCAGTTAAACATTCTACACTAAGGCTCTATATTACTTTATTTATCTGTAAACCATTGACGTAAAGCCATACACACTGGGGACAGGTAGCCTGAAAGTATGGTGTAACAGCAACTTAGAAGATGATGTCGCACACAGAGAGCAGTTATGAATTGATGATGTACGCACTTGGACAGAAACATTCCAGTCAATATATCACAATATGTATTGCAATATCTCTTAAATTATTGCAATATATCGCGATATGAGAATCAGGGCTATATCCAGCCCTAATCTTCAGTCAGTGTCATCGGTTGAATGTCTTTAAATGAACGTTCTTTGCATTTTCTCTGATTAAAATGTTCTTGGATTGTTAAAATATGACAAATTCTAGTAAGATTAAGAATTTGACATATTGTATGGCGGATATCGATGTGATGCATATGTCGATTTCAGAACGGAGTATGTTCCACGGAATTATTTGTGTCACCCTACTAGGAAATACTTATCAGATTTTTATCTTCAGAAGATGAATCTGTTCATGTAACATCAGCTCTGTTTTTAACACATTCGTTGACATTAGGAAATAATTTGTTTTCTTCTGGCAACTAATGGTACAATGTTATGGTACTGTCCACTATTTGCACTGTCCATAACTTGCCTGCCATTATGATTCTATGTATACGGGCCGGAAGTCCAATGTACAATCTACCCTTCAAGATCCGGGTTAGAATTGATCTTAAGCAACCCATGCTTGTCATAAGAGGCGAGTAACGGGATCGGTTGGTAAGGTTCGCTGACTTGGTTGACACATGTCATCGGTTCCCATTTGCGCAGATCGACCTCATGCTGTTGATCACTGGATTGTCTGGTCCAGACTCGATTATTTACACACCGCCGCCATATAGCTGGAATATTGTTGAGAGCGGCGTAAAACTAAATTCACTCCCTCACTATGTACAATCTATCTGGATTTTGATCTTGATCTAGTACCACTGGAACAACCCAGAAGAACGATCCGACTTCACAGACGGTACCGGCTTCACCATCTACTACACCCCTAACCTCCGCCAGTACGACGCCGGGGTCTTTTGGACAGGGCAGATGCACCTGGACATCCCACCTGGTCAAAGCAGGGCTGTGTACGAATCCACCTGCCCTTCAGAATGCACAAATAAGTTCAGCGACAAGATTTACATAACCCAGGGACTGAACCACATGCACTACAAAGGTAGGGGTCATCAACTGAAACACTGACTGACTGACTAAGTTTTGGTTTTACGCCGCTTTTAGCAATATTCCAGCAACATCACGGCGGGGGACACCAGAAATGGGCTTCACACATTGTACCAATGTGGGGATTCGAACCCGGGTCTTCGGCGTGACGAGCCAACGCTTTAACCAGTAGGCTACCCCACCGCCCCTCAACTGACACATAACCGGAACAGTGGTGCAACAGTTTTTGGGATCAGGTTGCCGTTGTACAAGACAACCCCAGTGCTTGCTTGGTTGGTTAGTTGGGTAACGCCGCACTCAGCAGTAATCCAGCTATATGGAGTCTGGACAAGACAATTCAGTGATCAACAGCATGAGCATCGATGTAAACAATTAGCTGGAATATTACAAACAAACAAACAAACAAACAAGCAGTTAATGTTACATGACAAAAAATACCTCTTGATTTTGGGCCGGAACTCTTTCCACTGAGTAAAATGGCAATGGCGGATTTTGATTGAAGGGATGAATAAACGTCAAAGGATTTAAAGGAATATGTTGATGGGGCAAATAATACATTGATTTCTTTCGAAATTATTCCTTCAGGTATTGCACAGATGGTGGAGCACTTCAGTAATGGAGAAAGGAAGTATCTCACCAATGACCAAGAGTACAGCTACGACAGTCCCCAAGTCTATGAGTAAGTTCATTATCGGCATTTTCGCCAATGGAAAAGTGATTTTATGTTGACTGTGTCAATACATTTTTGAAAAGGCAAACGATGACTGAGATGACAGACTGAGATCAGGTTAATTGTGTGGCCGCGTAACCCAGATGAAATCTTGAAGCTAAATATTTGAACCGCATAATAACATAAAAAATTAACCCATTCCACCAGAAAAAAAATATGGACAGAATTAAAGTTAAATTGACAAATAAATCATAATTAAAGGTAACAAAAAAGGAAAAAAAGACAAATGAATGCTGTTAAATATATCTAAACTGCCGTATAAAAAAAGTACACACCTAGTGTTTTGAGATTATTTGAACAGTGATGTGATTTTGACTGGCAACTTCGCAATTGGGCACGATACCTGTCTGTGGTGCTTTGGCAACATATTAGGAATGTCTGTGACTTATATATCACTGCATAAACTCTTTTCAAAACATTAAAGTAATCCAAAAGCACCAGGTGTGTACTTTCTTCTGTACGTAAGTTTATATGAAGCTAATGCAACTATCCAAAATAATCGGGCATTGGGGAAGCCTGGTGGTTACAGCGTTCGCTTGTCACGCCGAACACCCGGGTTCGATTCCCGACATGGGTACAATGTGCGAAGCCCATTTCTGGTATCCCCCGCTGTGATATTGCTGGAATATTGCTAAAAGCGGCGTAAAACTAAACTCACTCACACTCCAAAATAATCGCGACTGCGTTGTCTTACATTAACGTGAAATGTTGTCTTACATAGGTACAATCCTCCAGTAACCGTCAATCCAGGCGACAGTCTGAAGACTACGTGTGTCTACCAGACCCTCAAAGAGACAAAGACTACAACGTATGGGGAAGCGACAAGCGATGAGATGTGCTTTAGTTTTTTCACCTTCTACCCAAAGCAGTCAGTGGGAAATCCTTTCTGCGTGGGTTGGAAGAAAATCCAGCAATGTGCAGCACAGGGGGGAAGACTATTTGGCTGCGACTATAGAGCCTTCAGGAACATCTCGAATCCTGAAACTGCAATGGTGGTGGACAAGGTAGGAGAAATAATTGACACGCTCACAAGACTAAATTTAAATGGGCTTATACAGCGGGGGAAGTGTTCGTGGGTTCAAGGTGAATCTTATTTCATCGTAAACTTTGTTTAATGCTTCACTTGGTATGTTTGTAGGTATATTATGGTGGTCTTTAAAATACCGAGTCTAAACCAGTTATTGACATGATGAGCATCCGTCACCCAAGATATCAATGAACTGTAATATTGCTGAGTGTGGGACCCGTGAAGATCCGGGTTAGAATTGGTTTTCAGCAACCCATGCTTGTTGTAAGAGGCGATTCACGGGATCAGGTGGTCAGGCTTGCTGACTTGGTTGACAAATGTCATCGTACCCCAATTGCATGCTCATGCTGTTGATCACTGGATACCAATTCTAACCCGGATCTTCACGGGTGTATGACGTGTGATCGGGTCGGTTATAGGTATACATGTATTTTAATTTTGGATTTTCACACACAGCTACTATCTCCACATATCCTCATTAATATAATAATGTTGCTAGGTTACATATTGTTGATATAAATTTTTTTGGTTAGATTCTCAACCTCAACAAATGCTTATTTCCAGGTATTGGCAAACTGCAATCCCTACGGTGGATGTCGCTATGAGTGTCCTGCAGCTATTGCTGAGGCGGAGAGCCATCCTTGTCTTGCCAACGCCGACGTCAAGGACTGGTCTTTGACTCGAATGTCGCATTTGGACAGCAAATCCCTCAAGTTTGTTGCTGCAATGCAGTCTTGTTCGTGTGAGAATGGAAACTGGATGACGACTCATAGTTACCCATACAGTAGTGCTGGAACACAGGCAGCTGTGTCTCTTGTGACAACTGTTTTGAGTGCAGTGCTTTATGCTGTGCTGGCGTAGAAAATCTCTGTGGCCACATTTTACACCTGCTTCTATTTATACAAACATAGAAATTATTCTACGAGCGTGTGTGTCATACTGATTACAAGAAACGAGGGTGATAATTTTTGTTTTTCCCAAACAAGACCGAGGGTAGTGCAATCATTCTGATACGAGCTTCCTAACGTCAGTACGAAACTCATGCGAGTGTAGTTATTCTTTTATTTCCCATTATTTCGTCATTCTTTTCAACTCCTCTTTGGAAAATGCACTGATACTGTCAACGGAAACCATAAATGTCGAAAGACATCAACATTGTTCAGATGGGTCTTTTCTAGTGTGGGGCGGTGGTTAGGCTAGTGGTTAAAACGTTCGCTCGTCACGACGAACACCCGGGTTCGATTCCCCAAATGGGTACAATGCATGAAGCCAATTTCTGGTGTTCCCCGCCGTGATATTGCTGGAATATTGCTAAAAGCGGCGTAAAACTGAACTCACTCACTTTTCTTGTGTGATGTCATTTCTACATTGCAATGACATGAATCCCGGTCACATTACACTTGTGCGCAGTGACTTTTGCTGTAGTGCACATACGTCTGTTATGAACCCGGTTGTTTCTGACCCAATGTGTAATAAATATCCTTAAGACTTTCTGTTGCTTTTCCTTCTTATTCATACTATAGGACGATTGTCATTTAGAATTTGTGATGGCGTGCTCTCGATCCACGCAACGTTTGCAGCGCTACGACATCCGTAAGCCTATGATAAACTGTAGTTACGACAGGTCGTAAAGTTACGAACGCTTTGTGGATCGGGACCCAGGAGATTAACGGTCTGGCTAAGCATCAGTGAAGTGTCGTGAGATCTGTGAAGTTCGTAGCTACAATGAATCGTCGTCCTAGAACCGTTGACAGGAACAACGACAATGAAGCTTGCCAATTTCCCGATGGTGAAGTGACGTCCTCACATCGTCAGTGTGATCGATAATCGCAAATACTGTCGATGGGAATCATTATTAATGATTATCAATTTGATAATTGTGCAAGGTCTATATTCATGGGCTGCTCCTAAGGTATGTTCAGGACGGCGTTTTGCTGGTAATCCAAGCCTACATATGTCACCACTCGCCACTGACCTCTATGTTCTATATCGATAGCCGGTCCTAATGCATGATGGCGAATTGGAAAGAATGAGTTGTAGTCAAGCCTCCACAACACATTGATTTGCAGACTGCTGGCCTTTGGAGATCCCACATGCACTGTTTTGTTACATTCATGGGAATGCTCCCAGAAATTTCCTTTTCCAAACTTGTGTTATGTAATGGTATCTCTGTCCTCGTTTCACAATCGTTAGTGAAGCAATGAGAATCGGTTCTCATACACCTGCTTTTAATGTCACAGTCAGTATGATTTCAGAATGAAATTCGCGTTTTTTTCATGGCGTGGCTGCATGTTGATGCATTTTGGAATCAAGAGTCATACTGTGGACAGGAATTTGTTTCTTAAGCATTTTGTCAACTGGACATGCCCTTCGACTTCATGTTAATTATATTCATTGATCATTGTCATGCTGAAATCCATCTTGATGAAAATATGGACAATTTTAGACTGGTGCGTTTTCAATGAATTTCAGTGATAGTTACGCCTGACCACCCGATCCCGTTACTCGCCTCTACGTAGCTGACGTATGCCACGTCCACAAACCGATCGTAGCGCTAATATGAACGTAACTTAGGTATAATGACATACCTTACGATGATCTTAGCGCTAAGTTCGTTTTGTGGAAGAAGGCCTTATGTGTTTCTTCTCAGCATTCCCACGGGTTTGAGATGTGTGTAGAATACATACAGTGTACATGCACTGGTGTGGCCCATGGTGATTATGCATTATTCTATATCTGTAACTATGGGCTTGGTCCTCACACAAACATCTCTTGAAAGATATATGTCATGTATGTTTTCCTTGAGGTGATATTGTCACATTGTCGCGCTTTGAATGATTTTTTTTTTATTCAGCCTAACAGCGACAATGCGACATAGCGACAATTTTCAAGGTGAAAATATGTCGCGTTGTCGCCCCATATAAGATGTGTAAAGCTGCAAAATGCGCGACAACGCGACAATGTCCTTTCTATGATTACATAGTGAGGAGTGTGTTTGTAGACATCAAAGCGCGAATGGTATCTATGCATTGCGGACGATTGTGACACGTGTAGAAGCTTTTTATGTAAGTAATTACAGGCCTTTGATAGGTGTAGGCTCTGACTTCAAATTGGAACTTGATATACACTGGCGTAGGCTTTTGTGATATTGACACAGCTCATTTATTCCAGTGTTGCCTATTCCTCCACACAGACAGACACACGGACACACATAATAATAAAAACTCGCCTGCCCTCCCCGTTCACATGACCTCGAGCGCTGTAATTAAATTTACCAGATTGACGGTAGCCTGTTAGTGCCATTTGTAATACACTAAACGCCAACAGAAACATTACCCTCCTACCTTTCTGAATTACTTAAAACACTATCAAAGATATGTTAGAAGGTATTAGTTTACAAGAAAGCTTAACAACACAGCTTTATGCAAATCACGAAAACAATTTATCAAATGCATTCATATTTATCTTTTTCAGAAGAGTTATATTGTCCTATTTTCGTCCATGCCGAAATAAACCAATAACAGTGATGTTAATGTCCAAAAGGAAGGTTGAAATAAAACTCTGCTTTGGGACAAAGATAAACCATTGAAAGTAACCATTGTTCAACTATTAAAACAAGAAACAGCTGTTGTAGAGTGTGTAAAATTGTAAAATAATCATTCCTATTATTTCAGTCTTTTAAAAATTTTCTGCTGATTTGCAAACGTGTTTTTGATATTGTGAAAAATAGTTTAAGGACATGTAAAATTATCTTTGTTAACATTTTTGCTTGCAAAGTAACATTTTTCCATTTTTGTTTACGCATAACAATGTCAATCGCCAATACGCAGCAATATTCCAGCAGTATGTGCATCCATTTCACATGTAGAATGATTCTATAGGGTATGAAGAGAGCCTAGAAGACATGATATGATACACAAGTACGAGAAATATGCCAGGATTAACAGCTGAAGAGAGAGAAAGAGCCAGTGGGATGTTTCAGATGGGGCCGACATACAATGCTGTTGCCAACGCCCTCGGATGCCACCGTATCACGGTTATAAGAATTATTCAGGGCTTCGGACAGACTGGGGTAACCGTAGACATACCAAGAAGTGGACGTCCACGCATCACAACGCCAGCTGAAGATACGTACCTCCGTCATTAAGGAAGGAGTGTGACGTTTCTTTTGGCGTTTAGTGTATACGTTCTAATATGTGTTACTACTAACCACCCTATACGACAAAACAGCTTGCTCCGGTTATCCATGTTAACGTTCTAATGAGTGACAGTGAGTTTAAGTCTTACGCCGCTTTTAGCAATATTCCTGCAATATCATGGCGGGGGACACCAGAAATGGGCTTCATATATTGTACCCATGTGGGAAGTCAAATCCGGGTCTTTGGCGTAACGAGCGAAGGTTTTAACCACTAGGCTACCCCACCGCCCCCACATGTGTATGGGTCTGGCACACGATGCCGATTGGGAAAGACTGGGTTGGAAGCAAGTTTCATACATGTTTTCGTAAAGCCATCTACGTTCTTGTTCTTGATTTTCGAATCACTCGGGTTCTCCCGTCGAATCTAATCGATAACTTACCGCAGTTCGTAATTATATGATAGCTAAGTCGTAATTACGCCTCTTACGACAAGAATATCATTGAATTGGTCTTCAGCAACCCATACTTGTCATAGAAGGCGGCTAACGGGATCATGTGGTCAGGCTCGCTGACTTGGTTGACACATGCCATCGTATCCCAATTGGGTAGATCGATGCTCATGCTATTGATCACTGGATTATCTTGTCCAAAGTTGATATGTACGGACCGCTGTCATATAGCTGGAATACTGATGTGCAGGGTTAAACAACAAACAAACAAATAAATAAACAAAACATTATGAAACAGTAGTAAATATGTATATGCAATAGTTGGCACACACGGGCCGCCATAGACTCATGTGACTCCGGAGCAAATTCAATGCCATCCACGTACGTACAGGTACAGACACCAATGGTATTGACACACCACTCAGGTTCTCCCGTCATGGCAACTCTAATGAAAGCAATGTAAACAAAATACCTGGAAGGTGTGCTGACCCAAATGTCGGGGAATGTACACACAACAAGTACTGTAAATCGCGTTGACCCAGATGTCGATTAAAGAACACACTCAAACTAGTGGGTCATGTTATTGGGCAACACCTACTTGGATATAAAGTGTTTCTCTTTGTTTTTCATTTCAAAATGAGAATTGGTCTTCAGCAACCCATGTTCATCGAAAAAGATGTCAATCACTGGATAGTCTGGACCAGACTCGATTATTTACAAACCACCGCCATATACCAGTGTATGAAATAAGCCAAAACCCCAACCAGACATCGGGGTGGTAACTTCAAAATGTTACCAGCTCAAAATGGATTTAACCAGAGCAGACAATCAAAAGAAAATAACTCAATTTTTAGTTACAATGAATAATTTAATGAACCTGAGAGATGTATTTACTAACAATCTATTCACAAGTCATTTTAAGAGAAAACCGATTTTAAGATATGGTGAATGTTTTCAGGTGTATGGAACGCGTTATCGAAATTTTTTATGAGACCATCAGGCAGGCTTGTTTTAAAATTAGTCCGTCCGTCAGAAATCTAAGCCGTCTCGGTCGGACCCGCCTTATTTCATACACTGCATATAGTAGGAATATTGCTAAGTGAGGCTTTAAACAACAAACAAAGTTAAATGTCACAAGTACATTGACAGAACACGCACATGAAACATTTACCACAGCCATGCCCTGTTTCTGATGTAAGATGGTGGCAATGTTGCACAGCCAGAGATCAGTCAGACACATACCAAATCGACAGAGACTCTGATGACGTGTACTTACTATTCAGATCATGCATGGATATTTTCATGGAAGTACTGATAGGGTTGGACAATGAGCTGTACCCCAGTCCCGTCCTGTTTCTTGTGAAACTTATAGATCTGAAAAGCTTGGTCTTCTTGTTGTCCCACGCTTTAAGTCCAGCACCAGGTTTGGGGATCCATCATTTCAGGTGGCAGGACCCACTCTCTGGAATCATCTTCCACTGGAGCTAAGGACAATAAACAACCTGAAGATTTTCAAATCCAAACTGAAGACATACCTTTTAAGAAAACATACAGTGTCTAACGTTTCTTTCTTGAACTGTTCAGAGAGCGCTTCTGAGCAGTACTTTTGGACTGGAATTGGCGCTATATAAATGTTTTCATGATGATGATGATGATAGGCAATGTAACATCGTTAATGGAACAGGTTTTCTATTTTCGGGAGACATTTTAGACATCTCCGTTTTCTTTTTAAATTACACTACGTTGTTTGTCCTTTAACGCTGTTCCCGGCAATATTCCTGCTATATGACGGCGGTGTGTAAATATCGAGTCAGGACCAGACGATCCAGTGACCGATATCATGACCATCGATCTACGGAGTTAGGATGCGATGGCATGTGGTAATCAGGTCAGCAAGTCTGACC